CTTCCTTCCAAGGAGTGGCTGGTGGGCTTGAACTGCCAGCCTTCTGGTTAGCAGACAAATGCCTCAGGCACTACATCATCAGAGCTCCTTATTCTAACATAAGCACCCAGAAACAGAAATTAAAATATTCTATACACAATAATGAAAAAGGCATAAAAACAAATCTTAGAAATAAACTTAGCAATAAAAGCACAAACCTATACAAAGAAATCAAAGATCATATTTAAGGGTAAAGATTAAAATCTGAGTAAATGAAAAGATATCCATGTTCTTAATATCACAAGAAGTCAATTCCCTTAATATCATAAAAATGTCCAAGTAAAAAGCAAATATAATAATGAAATCCTAGAACAGAAAAAGAACATTAGATAAAAGCAAAGGAAATCTAAATTTAAACTAAAGTATGGGATTTAGTTAATAAGAATATACCAATAATGGTTCATTAATTCTGTCATACTAATGTGGTGGTGGCGGTGGTGGTGGTAGGTGCTGTCAAGTCATCTCTGACTCATAGCAACCCTATGCACGGCAGAACAAAACACTGCCCAGTCTTGTGCCAGCCTCATAATCCTTGCTATACCTGAGCCCATCGTTGCAGCCACTGGGTCTATCAATGTCATTGATGGCTTTCCCCTTCTTCGTTGACCCTCCACTTTACCAAGCATGGTATCCTTCTCCAGGGAATAGTTCCTTCTGACAATATGACCAAAGAGGGTGAGGCAAAGTCTAGCCATTCTCGCTTCCAAGGAGCATTCCAGCTGCACTTCTTCCAGGGCAGATTTGTCAGTCCTTTTAGCAGACCTTGGTACTCTTAGCATTCTTCTCCAACAACATACTTCAAAAGCATTAACTCTTCTTTGGTCTTCCTTAATCATCGTCCAGCTCTCACATGCATAAGGAAAAAAAAAAAAAAAAAAAAAACTCACTGCCTTCCAGTCGGATCTGACTCATAGCGACCCCTCCTTGGGTTTCCGAGACAGTATCACTACAGAAGTAGATTGCCCAACCTTCCTCCCAAGGAGTGGCTGGTGAGTTTGAACCACCAGCCTTCTGGTTAGCAGTCAAGTAAGTGTCTTAGGCACTACACTACCAGAGCTCCTAGAAGAAAATCTAGGAGACAACATTTACATCTGTTTCTTAACAAGGAAGAAGATAGCCATAGTGACCTTTATAAAACCTTACAAAAACTTAAGTTACAACATTAAAAAAATTAGCAGGCAAATGATAGATTTGGGGAAATATTTGCAAAGAGGTAAGAGACAATGGGTTAATACTTATTACCAATAGACAAAGAGCTCATAAAAATTGGCGAGAGACCAGCAATCTAAAGGTAAAATGGATAAAAGATGTAAAAAGGAGGATCACAAGAACAAATACACATAGCTATAAACATGAGATGCTCAAACTAACTAGTAATTAGAGAAATGCAAATTATAGTTAAAAAAAAAAGTCACACTACACCCAGTGAAGTGAAAAACAAATTAAAGAAATTTAATATCTATTACTGATAGTATAATGAGAAAAAAATGTAAATTGTTCCAGCTGTTTTGGAAAGCAGTCTGACTACTATTTCTAAACTAAAAATACACAGACACTTCAACCAACAAATCACACTTCTTAAAATCAATCCTACAAAAATAAATATCACCAATAAAATTTTTATTGCAGCATTGTTCTTATTACAAAAAACAAAAACAAAATTAGTTCTCAGCAATAAAGTAATAAATAAAGATACTTCTACACTGTGGCGTTCTGGTGGTGTAGTGGGTAATGCATTTGGCTGCTAACCAGAAGGTCAGCAGTTCAAATCCACCAGCTGCTCCATGGAAGGAAGATGAGGCAATCTACTTCCATAAAGAGTTACAGCCTCAGAAACCCAATGATGGCATGAGTCGGAATCGACTCAATGGCAGTGAGTTTGGTTTTTTGTTTTCATACTGTGGAGTAATTAGGCAACCATTAAAAAGAATAAATTAGAGTGACACCATTTGACTCAGAGGGATGTCCCTGGTGGCATTTATGAAAGACAAAAGTGAGATGCAGAGAAGAGAATACGCAGTAATCTCATGTTTAAGAAACAAACATTGATCAAAAATCCTGTAAATGTATGGGTCATGTCAGTGTGTTTGCCTGTGTGTGTGAATGTATGTGTGAATATGTGAACATGATGATAAATATGAAAAGATGCATACCAAATTATTAACATAGATTACTGTGAGGTGGGATAATGCAGGGGTTGAAAAGAAAAAATGAACAGTATGTATGATATGTGGAGCCCTGGTTGTGCAGTGGTTAACCATTTGACTTCTAATTGAAAGGTCTGCAATTCTAACCCACCAGCTGTTCCATGGGAGAAAGATGTGTCAGTCTGCTTCTATAAAGATTTATGACCTTGGAAACTCTACAGGGCAGTCCTGCTCTGTCCTATAGGGTCATGAGGAGTCAAAACCAACTCAATGACAACAGGTTTGTGTATGATGTGATTCCATTAATGTTAAGTAAATTAATCTAAATCCTGCTATAACGTGGATTAGGATATAACATGACTGGTACAGCACCATCCTCCACATAGTTCCCATTCTCAAACTACCTCATAATCATTTTGCACTTTCTTTGCGTATTGAGCAATCAGTTCTGCACAAGTTCAGCTGCACGATCTTTTGTTTTATGACAATTCTTCTGAAAAATATTGTTTTTCATTAACTGTTACTCACATTTTATGAAATTAAATTTTATACCCCACTTTTTGAGTTGAGGTATGGTTTTACATCAATATACGCAAGTCTGTACCTAACATAAAGAAATTAGAAAAATTAAGGAGTTGTTAAACCAAACCAAACCAAACTCACTGCCGTGGAGTCGGATCCAACTCATAGCAACCCCTCCTTGGGTTTCCAAGGTGTTATCACTACAGAAGTAGGTTGCCCAACCTTCCTTCTGAGGAGTGGCTGGTGGGTTTCAACCTCTAGCCTTCTGGTTAGCAATCAAATGCTTTAGCCACTATGCCACCAGCACTCCCAAGGAGTTGTTAGGCTGTCCTTAAAAAAGAAAAAAGTTACAGAAAAATATGCATGAAGAATTATATTTCAGTAAAAACATGCAAAATTCTAATTGTGAATATATTCATAAACATTTTTTAAGTGCAAGAGATACCTGTGGAAAGTATTCAGAGTCATTTACATAGGTTACGTATAGGAAAGGGAGTAGAGGGAAAGGGGTAAATTACTAACTCTGCCTTTTTCTCTTTCTGCATTATATTGCTTAACTTATTACAATAAGCAAAAAAGCATTACTTTTGAAATCTGAAAACATTAAGTAATGAAATTGAAGATAAATTCATCAAAAAGAATAAATAAATTGGATATAAAATTAATACCATCCATACAGGATCAGTTGCAAAGATAAAATGAGATAACTGATATAAAGCACTTAGCATTCTGCCCAACACCTTTTAAATGCTCAATAAATGTTAGCTAGTTTTATTTTTAAAGGTTTAAGAAGACTACAGAGAACAGTAGAAATTACAAAGCTGAAAACATAAGGCCTTTGAAAATGAGGTCATGTACACAGGGCACTTTTTTTCCATACTACTGAATCTGGCCTTCTTTGGGTTGCAAGGACTCATATTATGTAACTGTAGAGCTCATTAAACACACTTGTATTGACAGTAAAAATAAAAACAGTTACCACTGATTTGACTATGACACAATGTGTGTCAAAGTAGAACTGTGCTCCGTAGAGTCTTCAATGACTGATTTTTTCAGAAGTAGATCACCAGGCCTTTCTTCCAAGGCTCCTCTGCATGAACTTGAACCTCCAATTTTTTGGTTAGCAGTGAAACACATTAACTATCTGCACTACCCAGGGACTTCAAAAATAAAATTACAACTAAGCAAATAAGGTACTGTGGTATAGTAAATTATCTGGTATAGCTTTTCTAGCCATAAGTCTTTGTAAACTTCATGGTGGAATTTTCCCTGAGCAACTGAGTGGCTCCTGATCATTAAAGTTATCCACCTGGGGTATTTCTCTTGAGAGTGGCACAAAGCAATGTTCTGGGAAGTTCGCACTCTCTCTCAGGGGCTTAGAATTCTGATGTTATGATTGGTTAGTTTGACCACTCTGCCAGGCTCAAAAGGAGCCCTCCTAGAGGCAGAAGAAGTCTCTCTGACTGCTGGCTGAGAAAGACGTGCTAGTGAAAGACACGTGCTCCTGAGAGACATGGGCTGCTAAGAAAGAGATGCAAAAGACACGTATGGCTGAGAGAGACATCGAGAGATATGCACTGCTGGGAGAGAGACTGTGAGAGACTGTTGGCTGAGAAACAGCAGGCTGAGAGAAACTGAGCATTGTTCCTGAACTTGAATTGTTCCCTAATAAACCCCATAGTCTGTGAGTTCTGTGTGTCCACTGCAGTGAATTACTGAACCCAGGAGAGAGGTGGTGGGTGCTTTGGGAGGAATGGTTGGTGAAAGGGCTGGAGGGAGGCAGCATGTCTGGCCTTGCAGGAATAGGCCTTGGGCTACTGATGGTGATCCTGTCTTCCTCTTGTGGGGTTAGAGGAGGTCAGAAGATGTGGCCTCCATGCCCCTTTAGCAGGTACTTAAAAGAAAATGGCCAGTTTTTTGCCTTAAAGACTATTTTAAGAAGTTCAGTAACCACCTTAAGGCATTGTGCTTCTGACAGAACCACTTCTGATGAGAAATACCTGGGCCTGGAGTGTTTCTTGATGTTGGAGGAGACTTAACAGGACACAGCTCATACAGATTGGAGAGTGATGTTATCTGGTCTTCTGGAAGGCCTACCCAAGTAGGAAATCCATTCCTTAAGGTAGAAATTCCACCCCCAATTCTTAGAAATTCTGTGCTGGCCTGCCTAAAAACAGTTGGTTTAGTTTTAATCTACAAAATGAATATTCCATCAGTGGAATTCTTATTGTTCAACAAAATGCTAAAATAATTCATAAATTACACATGTGTGTTGCTAGTCTTACTACTTACATGGAATTGACTTTATCTTCGGAGCCTTGCACTTGGCCTGTCACAGTGCCTTTTCTGGTGTTCTTCACCCAGCCAACCACTCCTATTTTCTTAGCTTCACCTTCTGTGTACTGATTTCAGAAGAAAACAAAAGAGACAAAGCCCATCCTCAAAGTGTGAATTCATAACACAGTTGATTCTAACACTCAAAGAATGCTAATCTGATACTCATCTCTTTCTAAAACAAAGTCTATGTAGCATAGTGCGTAAGGCACTTGACTGCTAACCAAAAGGCTGGAGGTTCAAACCCACCAGCCACTCCTCGGAAGGAAGGTTGGGCAATCCTACTTCCGTAGTGATACTGCCTCAGAAACCCAAGGAGGGGTCGCTATGAGTCGGGGCCGACTCGACGGCATATAACAACAACAACAACAATGCCAAAAATTGTGTGGCTGGTCTACAGTAATGCATCTATTTACAAGAACCTCCAATTAAATGGTATTTTTGTTGTTGTTAAATTATACTATCGGTAATGACAAGAAAATAAACAGATAGTAGGGATTATTTCAGAAAAGAGCTCCCATGATGTGTTTTGAGATTCATAAAATTCAGATGTTTTGACCTCACGCCATCTAACACCAAATTATATTGTTAATCTGGGTTCCAAATGGTCACTCAAAGATTCCAATAACTGAGGGAAAAAAAATCCAATATGATCAATATAAAGTATTCATAGGCAGAAATACAGACTAAAACATTTTGAAATTTGTAAAAAAAAAAAAAATGGGGAAATAATTTTAATTAAAAATTAAACTAGCCAGAACATCAGCCTAGACATGATGGTTTATAGAGTTATTTTAAGATTGAAAAATTCTGATGTTTTCTCTTTGTTCTGGACATGCTGCAGAAATGTTATAATTTACTATGGGTAAATTTATTTCTCTTATTACCCTTAAAAAATTTTTTTATTTTTAATTATTTTTCTTGGTTGCACATTCAGTTGCACCATTTGAAAATTTAAAATTAGCAATATTTTTATTTTGTATTATTTAAACTACATTATTCTAAGATTCTTGTGGATCTAGTCTAGCAGAACTTTTCAGAAACATACTCTTCTCCTGTTTGGAAACCAGTGTGATGAAGTTCTCTATAGTTCACATCCCAAACTGAATGAAGCAACAAACACCCAAATGGTTACTGATAAGGATGATGTAGGAGTTGGTTCCAAAAACAATTCTGATAAGAATGGAAAAGGGGATAATCTGAACTGCAGTAGTACGGATGGACTGTCTCAAAACATGGAGACCTTACTGGTGGGAATATGTTACAACCCTTAGAGGCTGAGAACCCCAGACCCAATTTAATAACTCCCAACTTAGGTAGTGCCATGACTTGGCACCTGAATTTCAAGACGAGCTGAAGAATAGACCTGGCGTATTAATTACCAATGACCAAAGACCACACGAGTTGCAGGCTGACATCAAGTACATCATATATGAAGAAAGTAAATGGTCATTAAAAAGATAGGAAAAGGAAAAAAGACCAAAATGGACATCATAAGAGACTCTGTACTCTGTAACTTGCTCTTGAATGCATAGTAGATAAAGTGAATGGAAGAAATGACAGGATAAAAGAGCTGAACAGAAGATTTCAAAGGGCAGCTCAAGAAGACAAAGTAAAGTATTATAATGAAATGTGCAAAGATCTGGAGTTAGAGAACCCAAAGGGAAAATATGCTCAGCATTTCTAAAGCCGAGAAACTGAAGAAAAAATTAAAGCCTCAAGTTGCAATCTTAAAGAATTCTATGGGCAAAATATCGAATGATACAGGAAGCATTAAAAGAAGATGGAAGGAATACACAGAGTCACTGTACCCCAAAGAACTGGTAAGTGTTCAACTGTTTCAGGAGGTAGTATATGATCAAGAGCCAATGCTTGAAGGAAAAGTCCAAGCTGAACTGAAGGAATTGGCAAAAAACAAGGCTCTAGGAATTGATAGAATATTCATTGAGATATTTCAATAAATGGATGCAGCACTGGGGGGGCTTACTCATTTATGCCAAGAAATTTGGAAAACCTGGCCAACTGACTGGAAGAAATCCATATTTGTGCCCATTCCACAGAAAGGTGCTCCAAAAGCATGTGGAAATTATCAAGCAAAATCATTAATGTCACAAGGAAGTAAAATTTTGCTGGAGATAATTTAAAAATGCTGCAGCAGTATATTGACAGGAAACTTCCAGAAATGCAAGCTAAATTCAGAAGAGGCCTTGGAAAGAGGGATACCATTGCTTATGTCAGATGGATCTTGACTGAAAGCAAAGAATACCAGAAATAACGTTTACTTGTGTTTTATTGACTATGCAAAAGCATTTGATTGTGTGGATCATAACAAATTATGGATAACATCAAGAAGAATAGGAATTCTAGAATATTTAATTGTGCTCATAAGGACCTGTACATAGACTAAGAGGCTGTTGTACGAACAGAACAACGGGATAGTGCATGGTTTAAAATCAGGAAATCTATGTGTCAGGTTTATAGCCTTTCACCATACTTATTAAATCTGTATGCTAAGCAAATAACCTGAAACACTAGATTATATGAAACACTAGATTATATGAACATGGCATCAGGATTGGAGGAAGATTCATTACAATCTGCAATATGCAGGTGACACAACCTTGCTTGCTGAAAGTGAAGATGACTTGAAGCACTTACAATGAAGATCAAAGACTACAGTCTTAAGTATGGATTATACCTCAATCTAAAGAAAACAAAAATCCTCACAACTGGACCAATAAGCAGCATCGTGACAAATGGAGAAAAGATTGAAATTGTCAGATTTCCTTTTAGTTGGATCCACAATCAACACCAATGGAAGCATCAGTCAAGAAATCAGACATTGTATTGCACTGGGCAAATCTGCTGCAAAAGACCTCTTTAAAGTGTTAAGAAGCAAAGATGTCACTTTGAAGTCTAAAGTGCACCCAACTCAAGCCATGGTATTTTCAATTGCCTCATAAGCATGTGAAAGCTGGACAATAAATAAGGAAGACCGAAGAAGAGTTGATGCCTTTGAGTGGTGGTGTTGGCAAAGAATACTGAAAATACCATGGACTGTCAGAAAGATTGGGCAATTTACTTCCATACTGTTACTGCCTCAGAAACCCAAGAAGGGGTTGCTATGAGTCAGATCCGACTTGATGGCAGTGAGTTTGGTTTCGTTTTGGTCAGAAGAACAAACAAATCTGTCCTGGGAGAAGTGCAGCCAGAATGCTCCCTAGAAGCAGGAATGAACAGACCTCATCTTACCTACTTTGGCCTTGTGGTCAGAAGGGACCATTCCCTGAAGAAAGATATCATGCTTAGTAGAGGGTCAGTGAAAAAGGGAAAGACCCTCAACAAGATGGATTGACACAGTGGCTGCAATGATGGGACCAAGTACAACAAGGATTATGAGGATGGCACACAACCGGGCAGTATTTCATTATGTTGTACATGGGATCTCTGTAAGTCGGAGCTGACTCTACGGCACTTAACAACAGCAATTTACGTAGTAGGTAAAAATATATGCCACAATTATTTTTAGGAATGGTGGTATATTAAGAAATAAAAATTAGAAAATGTAATAGGGCATCTGAATATGTAAAACCCTGGGAATCACTTCCTTACTCATTCCTAGCATTTTTTAATTTTCCCTTGCCTGGAGGATTTCTTCCACACAGAACATGTGGAGGATCCCATACTTAGTATTCAACATGTTTAGTTTGAACTACCCTAAGTCATAGAAAAGATTAACTAAAAACTAGGAAGGCTGTAATGTTCTTAATAAACTATCTTTTAAAGACAGTTTTCAAAAAAATTTCAGTCAGTAAATTCAAAGAAATACATGCACTTTTTCATTCTTAGTAGTCTAGCACTAAGTAGGGAACTGCTGTCACTGCTCTGTCACTGTAATTGGACACAGTAAAAGCACACACACACAAAGAACAAGTGTATTTACTTACCATTCTGAAGCAAACACCTATAAGAAAGATAAAAAAAGAAATGTCAGCTTGTCTGTCTTTGAAAAAAAAAAGTATTTTCTGATTTAACATTCATCCAATTTACTAAATGGCAAATAAATAAAATGAATAAAACTTGTAATATCTGAATGCATTCATAAGAATATAAATATATATATATATATATATGTATGTATGTATTTTGTTTTAAAATGGAAAACTTTTGGAAAAACAGTAACATTCTGAAACCTAATTATAATTAAATGCTGCACTACATATTCATTCTATTTTAAAGTACTAAATAAAACAAAATGCTTATTATAAGGATAGTGAGTAAGTGTGCCCTAAAATTTATCTATACTCAGCTTTTAGAATTTCTTCTTTAAAGGCAAGGATTAAATTCAAGTTTAAATGTAAAAAGCATTTCTGTTTTTATTTTATCTTTAAATATAGAATCCATAAAGCATATACTGTGAAATTATATGCTTGACCATAACTTGGCTTCTGAAGCCTCAACACTAATGAGCATTGTTTCACTAACATGGAAATAACTTTTGGAATCTCTACCTCATAGATTTCATTATGTCCATACTCAAAAGCATATAGGATGGGTACCATTGTTAGGTCTTTGTTATGTTTTCTCTATCTGGATTGTGTAATCCAGGCTGTTACATTCTGGCCAACTTTCATGGTATCTTATGACTTGGTTACTAGCCAGCCCGCAAAATGATGGGAACACCATCTTAGAAAGAAGTGAAGAGTTCTATGGGATTTCATATCCCGGGTTATTTGGGACCAAACATTGATATAGATATGAGTGGCCCAAAGGCAGGAATGAAACAAATTGCAAATCTGGTTCCAAATGTGAGTATCAGAAATGTGTTTTAATTGGCAATGTTTTTCATTAGAAAAAAATATACAATGAAAAATTTTATGTAGTTTTATTGGGAGATTTATAATAATAAGAGAGATCATTTGTTTCCTGATGATAGTGTATCATGGTACCAAAGGAATAAGAAGAAAAAGAACAGTAATACAATAAGGACAGGATAATATCACAATGGAATTTTTATAGGGTTATAAAAATACTTTAAAAGATACACATAAAATGTGGAGGATGATGAGTGGAACAGTGGAAAGTATTGATCTGAAAGGGAATTAGAAAAGCTGTCTGCTGTACAGATGAAGGAAAATATATTAGCTAGAAGATACAGAAGGAATTGTCAGAAAATGTAAAAAAAAAATTGTTAAGGTCAACCAGGACATATAGAAGAGAGAGGAAAAAAAAAAACAGGAGAGAAAGCAGACAGAACTATAAGAAAATCTGCAGGCTTGTTCTCTTTAAAGACAGGGGATTCTAGGCAACAGTAATACACTAACCAAGTAGAGTTGAAGATGTTGATCAAAGCTTTATTGTGCCTATTCCCTTCTCCATTACTCAACAGCAAAAGCTCTGTAGGATATTAGCACTATAAGAAAGCACATGCAATTGAAGTAAACAGAAATTAAACCATATGTGATCAAGTTTCTTCCTATTAGAGTGGTCTACAGACTCACAACACCAGCATCCCCAGAGAGTTTGCTAGTAATGTAAATTCTTGGTCCCACCCCAGATCTATCACAGATACTCTACAGGCAGGGTCCACAATGGCAGCGGTGGTTCAGGGGTAAAATTTTTGTCTTCCACACAGGAGACCCAAGATACCTTGCCCCATATACTTTATATGCTGCCATCATCCCTCAGTGAAGTTTGCTTGTTGCTATGATACTGAACAGGTTTCAGCAGAGCTTCCACACTAAGACGAAAGGCCTGATGACCTAAAAATCAACCAATGAATACCCCACAGATCACAACGGAATGGTTAACAGCAAACAACAACAGATAGGAGCCAGGTTTAACATGTTCTTCAGGTGATTCTTAATGCTCACTAAAGATTAGAACCAATGGCTGGTTCTACCTTAAAAGATCAGGGAAAGATTTGGAAAGGACTTGTATTTCAGGCCAGGAATTATACTACCAAGGAAAAAACTAAAATCTTATAAGATGCTGCAGATTTGTTGCATTTCCATTTAACACTGGTCCAATTGGTGTTAGAAAGAAATCATGTATTTATGTAGCAATGTTGCCTCTCCTATGTTACAAGTCTGTAACAGTACACGAAACATGAAAGAAACCATGGACAATGAAATGGCAAAAGCCCCCCTCCTTCCTCCTCCGCAGACCTGGTGTTGGAGCAACCTAGTCAGCCTGTCATTTAGACTGCTCTCCTGTCCCTTACTATTAACTGCCAGAAATATTATAATTGCCCAGAGAAGAAGATGGAGAACATGCTCCCCAGGGAAGAGCAATGCACGGTTCAGGTCATTCAACATCTATGAATCCCAAGCAGCCCTTCCACCATTTACTCATACTGATAACAAAAAGGCCATTCATTTCCTTAAGGTGATAGGATTTGAGGAATTTCTGAAACAGGTATTGAACACAGATATTCCACTGTTACATGCTGCAGAGTTGACAAAATTACCCACTCTAGTCTAGTGATGGAATATTTTTGTTCACACAGACACAATCTAATATTCAGGCAACTCAATATATTTCACAACCACACAATTGAACATTCCAATTATTCCCTCAACAGATTTATTGTCTAAGTGCAAAAAATTATGTGAGTACCTACTATATAGTCCCTGCTATCTAGAGAAGCTACAGTCTAGTGGGGAAGATGGACAAGTAAAGTGGCAAATGAAATCAGAGAACAATTACCACCTGTGAAATATATAAACCAGGATGAAAATGTAAGTTAACAGGGGAGATAAGTGACCGGTCTTGGGTGATTTTAGGGAAGGCTTGCTGAAAAATGGGCTTCTAAATTGAGACTTCAAAGATAAGCAACAATTGGTATGATAAGAATAGAATAATGTTACAGATGGAAGATCATGGGCAAAGGCCCAAAATTGAAATTTTGGCATATTTGGAGATCTCTCATAGTTAAATATGCAAAACCATGCCACTGCACCCATATTATGAATTATTTCCAGGCCCCAAACTTCATTTAAGAACTACTGAAACTTTAATTTCTACTTTTATGATTTCTAGGAGAATGGGTAATGTGTTCACACCCCAGTCCAAGTTACTTAACCTCTCAACGAATCTATTGCAATAGCCTCAACTAGTCTATTTATGTTTGGTTACCTAGTGCTGCTCTGACAAGAATATACCACAAATGGGATGGCTTTAACAAACAGTTTATTCTCTTAGTTTTGGAGGTTAAGTCTGAGTTCCACGTGCCAGGTTCTAGGGGCTGGGTGTAAGTCCCTTGACTTTGGGCTTCAGCTCTGCCTCTTGCTCCGGCCCACTGAAACTAGAGGCATCTCTTCGCTCAGGCAGCTGCCAGCTGCTGAGGCTGACAAACCCAAGGTTGACAAGAGAAAAGGCACAGTCCTGATATAACCAAACCACATGGCAAGCCATTAATTCAAGTCCATTAAAAGTCCCAAGATCAGCAGAACAACATGGCAGACTGCTGAACAACCCAGCTACATGCAGGGTTCAAGTGTGCCATTCTCTGGAGACTATTCCCAAAGCTGCTTCGTATATATGGGAAGCAGACTACATTCCCTAAAGCAGCTGATCAGCTGCTAGTGGTAGATTGCACCATGAAGCTGACTGCCATTCTCTTCATGAGCAGCCACTCAACCAGGCCCAGCCAAGTTGTCATACAACCTTAACTACAACACTCTGTTTTCAGTCCTGTCCTCCTATAGTCTATTCTCCATAAAGTAGACAAAGTGTTTTTTCTTGTCTTAAATAAAATCATCCTATGCCCTGCCCCCAGCCTAAAATCCTCCAGTGGCTCCTATCACACTCAAAATAAAATGAATTTGGGTTATCAAGGCCTTCAGGCCCCTTCCAAATGCTTCTACTTCATCTCTTAGTACTCTGCTCTCTCCATTCAGCTGAAGTGACCTCCTTTGTGCTCTTCAACCATGCAAAGTACATTCTCGCCTCAAGACCTTTGCACTTATTATTCCCTCTGCCTGAGATACTCTTCCCCCTAATCTTTCCATGGTTGGCTTATTATTCACGTCTCTGCACAAGTATCATGTTATTAGAGAATAATCCCTGACTAGTTTATCTAAAACAAGTACGTGCCCACATACATTACCTTCATAGTACTGATTGGTATATGGCAGTATTAGGTATTTATTTACTTATTTTCTGTCTTCACAGTAGACTGTAAGCCCCACAGGGGCAGGGTTTTTATACTGTCTTGTTCACCACTGTACCCACTGTACCCAGCACTGAGACCAGAGCTTAGCACAAGTTGTTAGTTGCCATCAAGTCAGTTCTGACTTGTGAGGTGCCTTAGGAAGGGCTTGAGCTACTGACCTCTCAGTTAGTCTAGTAGCCCAGAACTTAACCATTTGCACCACCCAAGGAGTACTCATTTGACACAGATTTGTTGAATAAATGAACAAAAGAAAAGTCAGCTGACAAATATTAAAGTGAAATATTTAATTACCCTAAAATAACTCATTATTAACAGATATGAGAGTCACCGACCACCATCCCACTGCCATCAAGTTGATTCCAACTCATAGCGACCCTACAGGACAGAGTAGAACTGCCCCATAAGGTTTTCAAGGCTGTAAACTTTACAGAAGCAGACTGCCTCATCTTTATCCTGAGGAGAATCACCAACCTTTTGGTTAGCAGCCAAATGCTTTAGCCACTACATCACCAGAGCTCCTTTAAAAACTGTTAAAGAGGAAGTTAATTTGCTGTATAAACTTTAACCTAAACCACAATAAAATATTACTTAAAAAAAAATTTTAAGGAGTTCCGGCAAGATGGCGGACTAGGCAGAAGGACTGCACAGACCTTCTTCAACAAAAAAAAGGGAAACCAATTAACACAGACACAGAAGATAATCTTGGACCCCTGAGCCTTGAAGGGAAGGACACAAAAGTGGACTAAACCCCAACTAGAAGAAGAATTTGCGTGAAAATACCAAAAAAG